GAGGAGAAATTCTAGGATTTTTCCAAGGACCAATTGGGGAAGGGGACTCCACAAGAGTAGAGCTAAAAGGAAGTCATGTTTGACCTACAGAAAGCTGTGGAACTAGGCTCTCAAAAGTTGGTAATTGAAGGTGATTCTAAAGTAACCCTAAGCTGGCTGAGAAAAGAGGAAAAACATCCATGATGGTTGAGAAATGAGATTAAAATATTTAGGAAGTTGTCAAAAGACATGCAGTTATTAATTCAGTTGGTTCCAAGGTCAGCCAACATCTAGCTGATCAGTTGGCAAAACAAGGGGTGAACAGAGAACAAGTATTCTGGACATAATTGTAACATAGAAAAGCAAAATCTTTGGGTTTTTTCTGTGTTTTGTTGTAAGGGGTAGCTGAGGCTACTCAATGATGTAAAGACACCCTTTCTTTATCAATAAATATCTTCTTTTAATGATAAAAAATATGAATTTATTTATCCCTGGACCAATTGAATGTTGGTTGAAACATTGTTTGAAGATAAAAAAATACTATAGAGAGATAGAAATAGACTAAAAAGCACAAAAATAGAATGTCTACGACCCCTAAGGTACATTATGGGAGATTACCAATATTACTTCAAGATTCATCATCATGGGTTGCCATCATTTTAGGGCAGTTCCATGTATCGCTTAATGAACGGATCCCTTACCTCTCAGCCTAGCGCACTTGTGTTGAATTAATGCTCCTTAATTAATGTGGTTTGCCTATGCTAAGTGCATTAAACCATCCAAGTGAGGCAGCTGCATGCCACGTTCTAGAATATCTCTCCAGCCACATGGGCATCCGGATACCTAAAGTATTGTCTGCACATGCTTTTGTGTCAAGCAAGGTGCAAGTGCAGCTATCCGCTTTGTAGGTATTGCAGCTCTTATGCCAGTTTGAGCAGCCGCTTTCATTAATTTGCACAACCACTTTCGTCAGTCGTGCTCAGGATATTGGTGCTCAACAATATCATGCTTACACCGTTTACATAATTTTTAGAGAAATTCTTAATGCTCTTGTGAGCATCTAAGCCAATCTCAAATAACCCTTAAGACATAATCATTGAACTACGATGATGAAGCTTGGGTGTGAAATGGGCGCATCGTGCCCTTTGATTTGGTATCGCCAAATTTCCTCCGACAACTTCTTAATGTCCTTACTTATTCATGGTGCAAGAGTCTTTCTAAAGCACGTGTTCGCTCCATTACCACATCACCTGTCAGATATTCGTTGGAAGATTGTAAAGATGTATCCAGACATGGAAATGATTTATACTCTAGGTCGATGGAGTTATATTAGCCTTACATTATTTCACTAGTACAACATCATTGTTTAAAGTCCAAAGACCTCCATTGAAAACGTAATCTCTGTCAGCCTTACCATTGAAATGTACTAAATACTAGGCATCCAAAAACTCCACAAAGCTATTTGTATCGTTGGGTCCCCAACCCCTTGAGAGGTACTCCTTATTCCTTAAGTTCAACCTCTTATCAAGTTTATAAATCCAAAGGTTGATGACCATTCAGATCTTCTGGATTCAAGATTTCAATGAATCTAATGACAAGTCATCTCCTATATTCATCATAGAGAGGAAATGCCAAAATAAGAGGAAGGGAGGGAAAGGGAAAAGAATGGGAGAAAAAAAGGAGAGAAAAATAAAAATTAAAAGAATTGTTTGACAAAAGATACACCAAAAGTATATATATATATAGAGAGAGAGAGAGAGGATGAGTAGTTGGTTTTGGAGCAAATCATAAAAGTTATTTGATTGTATATGGCAAGTTATGGCTTTCTTCACCCTTTACTTGCACATTAAAATGCATAGTTGCATATGCATACATGCATGAATGGTGAATAGACATGTGCATAAGTACTTCCATGCATAAATGCATCCATGTATATATCTATTTATAATATATAAAGCAAATACTTGACTTGGTTTTGTTGTATGTCAGTTAAATTTGATAGCATAATATTTGTTTATATATTTTTTCTTTACCCTTTACTTCTTCTACACATGCAATAACACATGCCCTTACACTATTCTATCTATAATTCTATGCTACTATCAAGTGGATTCTTGTCTTAATTTTGGTGCAAGCCATAAAACTTAAATTTGAGTAACTTTATATTTTGCCATTTCATCTTTGCACACATGTAACAAGTGCCCCTTACATTTGTGGTTAATATAGTTGCACATATACATAGCATTAACATGTGATCTTACACTAATATTTGTATAATAATAATAATAATAATAATAACAACAATACATGCATGCATACATACAAACATATATAAAATAGGACGGTCCATGTCAGCATGTCTCTCTTTTGAGAGAAGCTTTTTATCTATTTTTGAGTTTTTGCATTTTTTTATTTTCTTTTACTTTAAAAATATAAAAAAAATAATCATTGTCTATTTTGATTAGATTAGTAAAGTTATACATTATTAGAGAGAGAGAGAGAGAGAAGCCTTTGAGTTTTTCAAGGCCTCTTATTTTAATGCATGCTATTATTACATTTACAAAAGACATTTAAGAGAGAGGGGAGAGAGAGGGAATAGTAATATAACATAATAAAGTAAAATATTAATAAGTCAAATAATATAAATAGGTTGAGGTTAAATAATCAAACATAAAACAATAAAAATAAAAATATTAATTTAAAAATACACTAAACTTCCACTTAAAACTAATAAATATTAACAAAACTTAATAAAAATTAAAAACATTTCAGTTCCACTTAAAAGTCAAACTTAATAAACACTAATAAAAATAAGAAATTTAAATACAAAAAATATTAGTTGATAGTTTTAATAATATTATAATTTAAACATGGGTTTGATATATTGCAAATAGAACATGTGTTCTAATGTTGTATTTTCTTTTGTTTATTCTTTTTATTTTATTAGATAACTTTGTATTGTTAAAATGATAGAAACCTTTATTGTGATACTGCATTCCTTCCTTATAATAGTTATATTGTTAAAATTAATAATTTTTATGAGTTGAGACCTTTATTGTGCATAGTGTCCATACTACACAAGAGACATACAAAATATAGGACCCATTAAAAATGATATAAAATTAAACAGGTTTGTGTTAACCCATTTTCGATAATGGTCCCAGTTCGTTTAGAAACTTGTAACATAGACAACATACAAAATAATAATATATATATATATACACTTTGAAACCTAATAAATATAATTAATAAAAATTTCTAATGTTAATAATAATATTAAAATTTAGCAAGTTTTTTACCTAGCAACTACTAAAAGTTAAGAAATTAATAAAAATTAGTAGTTCATAAATAAAAAACTAAAATACAATTTAATTCTATTTAAATGTAATTAATATTAATAAGATAATTAAAATTAAGAATAAAAGTAAAAGATTATGAAAAATAATAACATAAACCATTTGTATTCCACATAAAAATTATCAAAATTAATTAAAATACTGCCATATGACTCTTACTTAGGGATGACCATTTATAACTTAACCAAAAGCAAATATTTTTGTTTTAAGCTTGATCTAGCTCAGATCTACACCAAGCCCACACAAAATGTGGGCAATAGGGTTGTAAAATTAATAAAAATTACTAAAGTTAATAAAAAATATTAATTTTAGCAACTTTTATCTAACAACTATTAAAATTTAAGAATTTAATAAAAATTAGTATTGATAAGATAATTAAAATTAATAATAAAAAGTAATAAATCATTTATAATTTAGCCTAACCCAATTAGATCTATAAATTTCCGTGCTTAAGCAATTATTTTCTTTTGAGTTAGGTTTAACTCAAATATGCACCAAGTCCACACATAATATGGGTAGTATGACCGTAAACGAATTAGATTCAAATCAAATCCAATTACATCCACATTAACATTTGATTATGAAATTTATAAATATGCATCCACATCTGATTATTATTAGGTTGGATTTTGAATTTTAAAGTATATGCATATATGTATAATTACACATAATATCTATGTATATACATAATTATACTGCATATACAAAATAATAATTTTTATTAGATATAGATTTTAATCAAATTGGATGGGGTTAAATCCACATCCAACCGAATTATTAACCAGATGCAAGTTCTAACATCCAAATTTGGGATAATTAGATTCGAAGTCTAATTGGGTATCGAACTTTCAAAGTCCAATGATGGCCCTAGCAAATAGGGCCCAAGCTAAGAAACCCCTAATAAGCTTAACTTAGAAGCTATATGCATATATAATATTTAGATAACAAATTTTATATTAATATATATTTTTTATACTAGACTATAATTGAATAAAACATTTAATTTGTAAAAAAAACCATAATTTTATAATTAACACAGGCAAGCTATAGGCTCGAACAAATATTATTACACCTAAGGTATAGGCTGGGCTAGGCCAAACAACCTTAAAAACTTCTAATACACTATCGAAATTTTCATTGGGCTACACAATGGGGGTAGCCCATCCTTCATAGCTCTTTTGGCTTCAATATTATCTAAAAACAGTTAAAAATATCCCATAAAATAATGCATGCATGGATTGCACTCGATTTGATTAAGTCCAATTACAAATGTTACGATGTGTGCAACTTGGTGGATTGGGTTAGGATGAGGGCCAATCTAAGCCTACTCCAAAGTCTTAAACCTTAAGTTTGGACTTACATTAATTTATTATGATTAAAAAAAATTAACTATAGATTAATTTAATTATTTCTATAGGCTACTTTTATATATTTACTGATATTTAAGTGATACTTACAAAAAATTGAAACATTTAAGTTGAATTTGGTGAAGGCTTAAAAATCTAACCTAATTCAAAATTAAAGCTGGATTCATACTTTTCCCTAACCCGAGCTTCAACCCAACCCAACCATAGTTTTTCGGGCTGGGTTCGGGCTAACCCGGCCCAAGTTGCAGACATATGTGCAGGCCCCTTACAATGAAAACGGTTAGTTTTTTCGTTCTTCGCAGCCCTAACCAACCTCTCTGGTACCGCGAATCTGAGAAGTGAGAAGTGAGAAGTGAGAAGTGAGAAATGCTTCGCGTTTCCGAGGGCGAGAACCGTCGACCCGAGGGTTACCTCGCGAACTACAAACAGCTTCGCGATTCACTCCTGGAGCTTCAAAGCGCCGCTGATCGAATTTTCGACAGGATTGAAGAGAGAGTACGTTGAAATTGGCGGCAGGGTTCGCCTGCGTGAGCTACAATTTTAATCGTTTACAATAGAGTTCTTATTTTAGTTTTTGATTTTTTTTTCTTTTTTGTGTGTATTTCTATAGACTGCAAAAGAGCATGATAAGCTGATGGACTTGTCTAACAGAGTTCAAAAGGCAAAGGTAATTAGAATGTAGACTATACTTCTCATTTTTTTTCCAGTTCTTTTCTTAGCAAGGAAGATTATAAATGAGAAAAGGGAATCGAATCAATTACCAGTAGAAGAGTGTAAATGATCATCTCTACATACTTAGATTTGGAAAATCATGATCATATCCTGCATTTTTAGCAATACTAATGATTTCATAGAAAAACCTGATAAAATTAACAAAGAGTTTCCAAGATGGTGCATCAACTGTTAACTATTCTCGGGGGTATCCCCCATGTATAGAAATTGAAGTGTGACCAAGTAAACTGGGAAATACAACAGCAGAAGTGATGGGCTAAGTAGGAGCTGGGGGCTGTTATTTTTAAATCACTGAAGCTATACAGCGTACTAAAGGCCCGTATATTGTCAGGCTGGACTGTTTGACCCTGCAGCAGTACAGTACTAATGTTTATTCACTTGTTTCCATCTTGTCGAATTTAACCCAGATTTTGCTCGCACAATATACACCCGTTCACTTTTCCTCTGATGGGTTGTCGGACATCCCAAATGAGTAAAATAGTGATCTCTAGACAAGTTAGAAGACCATATCCTGGGGCGAAGACAGGGGAAGAAATGAAAAAAAAAAGGAAAAAATGTCCACATTCTAAATACACAGAGAAAAAAGAGGAAATAATTTCAACTCGTGCTGGCTTAGTTGGTAGGATCTTTGTAGTAGAGACCTGGGACCAAATCCTGCTGCCACCAGGGGTTGGGGGTTAAGGGGATGGGGAATAGGCTACCCCCATTGTGTAGCTCCATGAAGCAAAAAGAAAGAAGAAGAAGACGAATGTTTTTACATTAAGATTTCCCAACAAATGATGATATTTCTTTATCAAACAGTTACTGTAGAGGGTTCTCTAATGATAATGAAGAATGTTTTTACATGTCATGCTTGGTTATTTTTTTTAATGGATTTTCTCATACTTGGTTCGTAATGCTTTCCTCGGCATCATTTCTCTTCCAACTTTATAGATAATGAACAATCTGTAGTTGGCTTTGTTATGCAGGAGAGAAGAATGGAAGAAGAGAGAAAAGAGAAAGAGAAGAAGAGAGAAGAGAGAACTGAGAGCAAAAGATGCTGCTGGCGGAACAGCTTTTTTAATATATATACTAGGGCGACAACAACTAAAATAAAAAAGAGTAAAAGTACAATAGTACCCTTGCGGTACTATACATAGGAAAAATAACAGCTATTAACACTCCCCCTCAAGTTGGGACATAGATGTCAATCATGCCCAACTTGTCACATAAATCATGATGCCGTGAGTGGTGTAGTCCTTTTGTAAAGATGTCTGCAAGTTGATCCTCAGAGCTGACATAGAGAGTACACACTTCCCCTGTGATAATCTTCTCTCTGATAAAATGCTTGTCGACTTCGATGTGTTTAGTTCTATCATGTAGTACAGGGTTAGCAGTAATGTTTATGGCTGTTTTTTTATCACAGAATAGGGTCATAGGTCTGTCTACTAGAAAACCCAACTCACTCAACAGATTCTTTATCCACATAATTTCAGCCACTCCATGAGCCATTGCTCGATATTCAACTTCAGCACTGGATCTAGCTACCACACTTTGCTTTTTGCTTCTCCAGGTAACTAGATTTCCTCCTATGAAGGTACAGTAGCCATTAGTTGACTTTTTGTCATTTAGGGATCCTGCCCAATCTGCATCAGTATACACTTCAACTTTCAAATGTCCGTGCCTTTGAAACAACAAGCCAGCACCTGGAAACCTTTTAAAGTATCGAAGGATTCTTTCTGCTACTTCAAGATGAGTGGTCATAGGGGCATGCATGAACTGGCTAAGGACACCAACTGCATAAACAATGTCTGGGCGAGTCATAGAAAGATATAACAATCTCCCTATAAGTCTCTGGAACCGTTTCACATCCTTGATAGGTTCACCTTGGCTGTCACCTAATTTATGGTTAGGATCAATAGGGGAATCAACTGGCTTTACTCCCATTTTTCCTGTATCCTGGAGTAAATCTAGGACATACTTCCTTTGGGAAATGAAGATACCCCTTTTTTAGCGGGCAACTTCAATTCCTAGGAAGAATCTTAGAGGACCTAGATCCTTTACTTCAAACTGTGTGGCAAGAAAACTCTTCAACTTTTGGATTTCATCCTTCTAGTTGCCAGTGATAATTATATCATCAACATATACTATCAAAGCAACAATTTTACCTTCTCTTCTTTTCACAAACAATGTGTGATCAAATTGACATTGCTTGTACTCTTTCTGCTGAACCGCTGCATGGAATCTACTGAACCAGGCTCTCGGTGATTGTTTCAGCCCGTATAAAGACTCCTTCAACCTGCACACCTTTTGTTCATTGCCTTGAGCCTGAAAACTAGAGGGTTGTATCATGTAAACTTCCTCTTCAAGGTCACCATTCAAGAATGCATTCTTGATATCAAGTTGATGTAGATCCCAGTCAAGATTAGCAGCAAGAGAGAATAGAACTCTAATGGAGTTCATCTTGGCAACGGGTGCAAAAGTCTCTGCATAATCAACTCCGTACACTTGTGTAAACCCCTTTGCCACTAAACGAGCTTTATACCTCTCCACCGTGCTATCAGCCCTATGTTTGACTATGAACACCCATTTACATCCAACTAGATCATTTCCCTTAGGAAGATCTACAAGTTCCCATGTGCCATTTTTATGAAGGACATTAATTTATTCCTTCATAACATCTGTCCATTCAGGTACTGAAAGAGCTTCTGCCACATTCTTAGGGATAGGGACACTGTCAATGGATGTGAGAAAGGCTCGAAAAGAGGGTGAAATGTTTTCATAGAAAACAAAGTGGGAAATGGGGTGTTTAGTGGTGTATGATCTAACACCTTTCCTGTGAGCAATAGGAAGGTCAAGGTCATTAGCAACAGAGGTATCAATTGCAATGGGATCAGGGACATCAATGGGAACCAAGATACCTGAGTGAGTATGGTCCGCCCCCGAAGAGTTTAATGGCATTGGAGGTACAGGTTTTGGATTCTCCACAGCTCTTGAATTTGGTTGGCCTTTGTGACGACGGAAGAAGACACGAAAAGGAGGAGGATCAGGAAGAGGAGGGAGCTGAACCAGTTTCTCCTCATTCCTACTCTCCCCCTGAGGAAAAACAAGGAAAAAAGGTTCGCTCTCAAAGAAAGAGACATCCATGGAAACATAGAATTTCCGGGAAACAAGATCAAAACAACGGTATCCCTTCTGAGTGAAGGAGTACCCAGGAATATGCAAGGAATAGCACGAGGATCCAATTTTCCACGAGTGGGTGACAGATTTTGGACAAAGCAACGACAACCAAACACACGAGGAGGAATGGGAAGAAGGGGGCCTTAGGAAAGAGAAGCTTATGTGGGGCTTTGCACTCTAACCAATGAGAGGGCATACAGTTGATGAGGTAGGTAGCACAAAGGACAGCCTCAAGCCAAAAGCGTTTTGGAACATTCATATGGAGTAGTAAACCCCGGGCCACTTCAAGGAGGTGTCGATTCTTTCTTTCAACAACACCATTTTGTTGTGATGTTCAGGCACAAGAGCTGCGGTGAAGTGAACCACGTGAAGCAAAAAATTCTGTGAGATCACTATGAAAATACTCTTTGGCATTATCTGACTGAAAAATTTGGATTTCAGTTTGAAATTGGGTGAAGACCATCCACTGAAAATCTTGAATAATTTTTGGTACTTCATCCCTGGTCCGCATGGGATATACCCATGTATATCTAGAATAATCATCGATAATGGTAATAAAATACTTGTAGCCACTCTCAGATGGTAAAGTAACAGGGCCTCACACATCAGAATGAATAATGTGAAAAGGAAATTCAGATTTATTATTTTTTGAAAGAAAATGAGTTCTACACTGCTTATTCAATTGACAAGTTTGACAAGAGAAATCTGAAATGGACACTGACTTAAACAATTCTAGAGACACCACTTTCAAAGACTCAAAAGATAAATGACTAAGACGACAATGCCATAAATAAACTTGACTCTTACAGGACTGACTCTTAGACTCTATGACTTGAAGACCAGCCTTATTCTCCAACATGTAAAGTCCATCAACCATACATCCTCTACCAATCGTCCTCCCCGAGGCTAGATCCTGGATCACACAATAAGAAGGGAAAAAGGTTACTGAGCAGTTTAAGGAATTAGTAATACTACTAACAGAGAACAAATTAATGGGAAATTTCGGAACATGTAAAACATCAGAGAGGGTAAGGCCGAGAGGGAGAGAAATGGTTCATTGACCAGCTATGGTAGTGTATGATCCATCAGCTAGTCTCACCCTGTCTCTTCCAGAAAGAAGGTGATAGGTTTGAAAGTAAGAGGACGTACCAGTCATGTGTTTTGACGCTCCAGAATCAATGATCCAGGGAGTGAGGGTTATGAGAAGCAACATGGAAAGCCGTGGTAGAGTTACCTGATGTAGACGCAAATGAAGTTGAGGGAGGAGCATCCATCTGACGAATTGCTCTACCATAGAGCTCTAAATGGTCATGGAAGGAATTTATAATATCCTCCCTTGGGTTAGATCCAGATGAATGTATCTGAGTCACAGTATGAATGGGGGGCTGATTCTCTTGAGTAGCCATGTTTGCCGTAGTGTGTTTTCTTGTACCTTGCTGTCCTGACTTTTTATTCATATATGAACATTGCTTCTTATTCAGATCTTGAGCCCATTTCGGCTTCTCATGAAGATCCCAGCATGTGTCTCGGGTGTGTTGGGGTTTCTGGCAATGAGTACACCACAATTTGTCCTTGTCATCCATCTTTTTCTGAAGATCCCCCTTCTTAGAAGTATTTCCCCCACCGGTAGTAGCACTCCCTTTCGCTGCCAACACAACTGCATCTCCTCCAGAACTGTTCATCAAATTCCTTCTGCTTTCTTCTGATTGTACAAGAGCATAAACTTCCTGAACTGATGGAAGATCCTTGCTACCTAGGATCTGGACTCTGGTAGATTCATATGTAGGGTTCAAACCATGTAAGAAAGCAAATACTCTTTGTTAGGAGACAAGTTTTTTGTACAGTTTTGCATCTTCATCACACTTCCAATCCACACTCTGATAATGATCTAACTCCTTCCAAACAGAGGTCAAGTCTGAGTAGTACACAGATAGACACCTTTCCCCCTGTTTATAAGTAGACGATTCTGCCTGTAGCTGGTAGATTTTTTCATAGTGTCGCAGTTCCGAATATGTTGATTTTGCTTGTTCCCAAATCTCATTTGCCGTTTCAGCCCTCATGAAATTGCTTCTTATTTGAGGTTGCGTAGAAACTAAAACCAAGACATGACCATGCTGTTTTCCTGGTTCCATCTGTCATATTCAGCACTCCCAGAATGTGGTTCTTTGATTCTCCCATTAATATAACCTATCTTTCCCCTTGCAGTGATGTACAGCTTGATCCCTCTTGASCACTCTAAATAATTTAAACCATCAAGAGGAATAACAGCCATGGGAAAGGATAGGTCCACACCCCCACTCATTCCATTCAGCATTGAGGAAACACCGGATGTAGCAGAATCTTCACCACTTATGATTTCAGATTAAAAAACAACTCTTAAATGGGGTACACAGACTTAAAGAAATTCAACACTGAGGGGGAACAAAAAAAAAAAAATTCCTTCAGAAACACACCTCCTTTTGTAAAAACACAGGTGTTGTTACAGCACTAACAGGTCATCCCTTGACTTACAAGCTCAACACAAGTGTTGCCACAGTGCATACAGGTCATCTCTTGACCTACGCATCAACAGGACTGCTGTTACAGCAAGTACTGGTCACTTTCTGACCTTCAGTTCACCATAAAAGCTGCTGTTGTAGCATACAAGAGGTACTGGTCACTTTCTGACCCTCAGTTCACCATAAAAGCTGCTGTTGCAGCACACAAAAGGTCCTCACGACCTACAGTTTCACAGGGATCAGTCGACCCCATAAAAAAGGAAAGAAAGAGGTGGTGATCACCTCACATCCAATTGGCAGACCTAGTACAGGTTCTGCCCTGGCACACGACCAGAAAAAAAAAAGTTAAGAGAGAGAAAGAAAAGTTACTTCAGTGTGTGAGATCTTCAATCAGCCAAACAGCAGATGAGGGCGGCAGATCTGGAAATCTGGTGCGAAGAAGAAAAAAAACTGTTCACTCGACTTCCCCTTTCAGATCTGATAGTCCCGCTCTGATACCATGTTATGCAGGAGAGAAGAATGGAAGAAGAGAGAAAAGAGAGAGAAGAAAAGAGAAGAGAGAACTGAGAGCAAAAGATGCTGCTGGCAGCGCAGCTTTTTTAATATATATACTAGGGCGACAGCAACTAAAATAAAAAAGAGTAAAAGTATAATAGTACCCCTGCGGTACTATACATAGGAAAAATAACAGCTGTTAACAGGCTTCTTTGGTGGAATGCACAAGTTCTTGATTTCTCTGTTAAATTCCTTGTATATAGACCTCTTTATCAAGTGAATCAGAAACCATAAAGACTAACATTCAAACATGTAAAAATTGGTTTTGAAAATTTCTCAGAGTAATTATTGACAGCTGCCTTGAATTTGTAGGCCAAGATTGATGCTATATCACATTCAAAGGAAGCAATTGCAATCAGGTCTTCTCCAAGGTACCCATCAAAATCTGATAGGGAGGAGGATTTTCACTCTTTATTTGGATATAGAGATAGTGATACAGGTTCAGGATTGCCAGTAGCAACTTTGTTAGTAAATGCAGGGCTGAATAGGGTAGGCATCCATTTATTCCCTTCTGGTACATTCATTCTTTAAATTCTTTTTATTATTTTCATCTTCCTCAATACATGCTGGTATAGCAGGAGTTTGGAGATGGGACACTTGAGCTTTTTCAGTTTTTCTCAGAGACAAGTTCTGACTTTCTACCAAAGGATGCCCAGCCTGAGGTACTAATAGTATAGCTCTAGGATGGCTCATGTTTTGCTACTATTCCATGGTTGTTTTTAATTTAGGTTTTCCATTGCTTTCAGGTTCCTCTGACATAATTGGTGTTACCTTTATTTTTATGCAAGACCGTGCAGCATTCTTGACAACACTAACTAATCACCTGCTCATTGGGAAATTGTTACATTATCATGTATTGGAATGATTCATTTTACCATTGTTTTAAAATGTCACATGTTTAAAGTTAGAAGTAAACAGTATATTGAATGGAATGACAAATAAACCACCTTTTTGATGTCATCAGAAAACACTTGTTTTCCTGCACAATTGCACTCATGTCTTGCATTTTCTCTGGGATATTGATGTAGTGGACACATCAAACACCACAACGGTGCAAATTTTCGATAAAAATTTATTATCTCCTCGAGAAATATTTGATATACAGGACTCATCTCTATAATGTATGGAATCTATGGAAGTATATCTAGTTTGTGAGCTTAATTTCAGAAAGCTATCCATAAAAAATGTTTTCAGAAAGCTAAAAATAACCATATGTAAGTTTCACTTGTATTGCATCTCATTGTACATGAACCAAATGTATACATTCTCTCACACTTTTCAGCATCACCATAACATACTTTACCTTTAAAAAAGTATGATTATGGGACTGAAATTGGCTTTCTATATTGATAAGAACCTAAAGTTCATTGCCATCCAAATAAGCATTTTTACATTCAATTCTTGTATAAGTGCATATGAACTAAACCAACAGAACTAAGATGCTCAAATGCAACTCTTGGATCATGGTCTTTGATATAAAACATGGAATTTTGTGTCTTCTTGGATTCCTTTCCCCTTAGCTATAGAGAATATACTTTACCTTTTCTAAAAAAAAATTGTTTCTATAAGTGGTAACTGGTATCCTAAATATAATAATTTAATTTCATTAAGTTGCATGTAAATTTCTTCTTGGATTCTTTTCCCCTTAGCCATAGAGAATATACTTTACCTTTTCTCTATAAATGTTCCAAATTCAATATGAGTTTCCTTTTTTTATTGAAAAATTATTAAGCAATTAGTTCAATTTTACTAAAATGAACTTATGTTTTACAGTAAAAATTTATGAAAGAGATGCATATCAGCGTATCTATCAATTGCACACTGTATAAACAGGGCCCTGTAGGAAAAGGTGGAATCTTAAGGGAAACCCAATTACACAAGTGCCAGACGTTTGCTTTCTTCGATCTACTGCTAGAAATTCCATTATAGTTCAGGCTTTTAATCACTTTCTTGAAGCTAACAAAAATTTTGCAAAAAAAGGAAAGGAAAACAGAGAAAGTATACAAACAGTCTAGGAAAGGAAAGAAGGGAGGTTTGTGTGTGTGTGTGGGGGGGGGGGGGGGGGGATCAACCACCAAACGTAAAGCAACTAATCTACTCTACTCCTATTTGGAACACACATAGACCACAAGCCCCTTGACAAAGCAACACACACCCAAAAAGTGAAACAAAAGACTCCTACACCTCAGGACTAAAAGTCCATTATCCACTCTCAATAATGAAATTCCTTAGCAGATACATGTGCATGGTTGCGGTGTGGAGCCAGGGTCATAACTCATTTAAATAGAAAATAAACTCAGCATATGAGCTAAATATTGTTCACATCCACTTACCTTCTAAGGCTAACCCCCTGCCAACTATGTTGCTTATCCCCATTGCCATCACAAACACACAAAGAAAGGAAAAATAAGCTAAGAGGCATTTTTGGTAGATAATAAGCTTGTGTTCATAAAGTTCAGATATACTATTATTTCTCTGTCTTTAACAGTTGGGTGTCATGTGATGCAGAACTGGAATAGAATTTCAGATGAATGGAGACAAGGGACATGGATCTAACCTTATTGTATACCATTTTAGGTAGTGTCTGGAGTTGGCCATTCAAGTGGAAATGCATTTGTTGAGAGCCTTCTTAAACCTCCAGATTTTACCTATGGCAGGTATGCTTCTGATGTGGAGAACATTGTTTTAGCCATCATAATTTCACTTGACAATCAATTGGCTGCTATTATTTGGTAGCCTCATTTCAGTCATTATTTAACTATGACTTGAAAACCATAACTAATCAATTTATAATGGTATAGAGTACTCATTGTTTTTATATGAAAATCGTATTTTTTTAATCAAATATGATGTTTATTATTGTACAAATCTAACAAAACTTTTATGGTATTTATTACTGATCCATGTATCCTATTCCTTAGGTTTCTCCATTTATGGGTGTCATGTACTACCTATTATATACATAATACCCTGCTATTTGAGCCTAGTTAACAACAAGCTCTCCTTATAGAGCTCTGAACTAGTAAAAAGTTTTTAAACTACTTTAAATGCATGGGTCTGATTGAAGGATTAAAAGTTAAAACAGCATCTTGACATTTATTAGCCTTTTCCTTCAATCATCCATTTTCTTCCTATTTTGTTGTTTTTAAATGATTTGTATTCAAGTGATCATTTATCTACCATAGGACTTTCCTCTAACTATGTTTTCCCTTTTCTCTAGCATCCTGAAAGAGGAAAATATTATGACTGATCATTCATCAAGTCCCAAGCATCAGACACTCCCACCTCCACCTCCAAGTTTAATTCATAGTTCGCGGGTAAGACTTAGGTTCTACTAAAGCTGCATCTAATTAATAGCTCATTTCATACACGGATATATTCTTCAACAGCTAGATTTTTTTTTGGACATGGCTAATTAAGACTTCCCCATTTATTTCATGAATTAAATTGTAGCTTTTATTAATCTCAGTTAATTGAACATTTTTCTTGTACATGTAAAGGTGCTTCCAAGATCAGAAGGTTTCAACTCTAGACCGTCCCTTATTCAACATTTGAAGACAAAAAATGTCCTTGCTGATATCCCTAAGGTTTCCAGCAAGCCATTGGGTGGTGAGTTGTCTTTCCTGTCACCATTTGCCTAATCTCTTTGTCTCTATCTCTGTGTAATACTTTTATACTATATCTTTAATAAACAAGTACATTAAGTAATATATGCACATATTTACAGAAGTGGACGTATCTGATATTTTAGATTTTTTAGGTTACAAAATTGTCATTCTTCACAGGTACATGCTAATATCTAGCCTTTTAGTAGTGAAGGTTAGGAATTCTCTAGCAATGATTCTGCAATATGTAGGGCAATGCTTTTTTCATCAATAACAATTAAAATTTTATTAGAAATTAGATTAATGAATGATGTACAAAACTACAAATGAAGCTGTGCCTGGGCATCCCTTTGTTTGGGCTAGTAGCAGCTACCCACCCATTCTAATTATATTATTTACAAATTCCCCCTTTGGGGAATAAATTCACAATGCATGATAAGCCAGATCATCACATTCTTAGACTCCTAACCATCATGAGCCAGATCATCTTCATCAGGTTCCTTGGTTTTTCCATTGAGGTAACCAGTTATTCCTTTCCTTCCAATAAACATCTTAACGGATTGTGATTATTGCCAATAATTTGTGCCATCCAATTTCACAGTGATGATCTGAATCCCTATTCTCAAGAGACAAAGTCAAAGTGTTCATTTGTTGTGATGTATCTTTTCTGGAAACAACCTCAGAAATCTTGCTAGAAGCCATCCCAGATCAGTAAACAAGTAGTATGCAATCAACACCAACAGAGGCCAACATACCAAATAGCCAAGAAACATTTTGTGAAATAGTTCTCTGAGAAGGTTAGAATTTCTTGAGATAACTAGTAGATCCCATGAAAAGATTTCCCCTATTCACCTCTCTGCTGTTACAGCCTACAGCAGGCAGTTGGTCATCTAGGGACTGAGGAAAACAGTTCATAAAATCCAAAACTCCTCTGGCATTAAATATACACTAGAAAAAATTTCCAGAAAATTCAAATAAGCTTCAAATGTTATGAGAGCACTTCCACTTGAAAGAAATATGATGTGGGCCTCGTGTAGACCCCCCCTCAAAAAAAAAAAGAGCACTCTAAGGCTAGTAACAAACTATTTTCTTCTGTTTTCAGAGTAGAAAACCTCAAAAAATATCAATCTTCATCTTTTGATCATGGGATTTACATGAAAATACTCCATAAGGGTTATCTGCTTGTATATTCTCCTTGATTTCCATTGTGCGTGTCTGGTATGCCTGCTAACATCATCAGTCCATACAGATGATGTCAGCAGATCATTGGTGGTTAGGAGGCTCTGATAAGACCACTTTGAATTCTGAGAATCTGAGCTGGTTCGAGGGAGCTCACCTTCCTGAAACAGAGTAGAAGGGAGGAAGAAGAGAAAGGAAGAAGTAGAAGAGGAAGGAAGGAGGAGAATAGTAGGGTTCATGCCCAGAATAGATGGGGTTACAATTATTTATACTCTTCCTTCAGTCTCTCCTGCACATGGACTCAACTGTGACTGCTAACATTAACTAGAGGGACGTGGCCTCCTCACGTAAACGAACCTCAGTGGAGGTTGCACATGGGTGGTCAGGTGTTTGTCTCATGCCGGGCCTGGTTACGGTGTGTCTTGGGCCTGGGTCTCCTGTTGTGGGCCCGAATGAGTAGTTGAGGGCCCGAATGAGTAGTTGAGGGCCTATCAGTCCCACCCTCTTCAAGAAACACCTTGGCCTCAAGGTTGATGTGGGGATACTGATCTTGTAGTTTGTCATAGTCCTCCCAAGTGGCATCTTCTGGTGGCAAGTTTTTCCACATGACTAAGGCCTGCTTGTGTAACTTCTTGCCTATCTTGACCCATCTTACATTTCTGATTTGTTGTGGTTCAATCAATATGTCCCCGTCTTCTGTGAACTGCGGAAGGGTCAGGCTGACCTAAGTCAGCATACTGACATGGAAAACCGGGTGTAATTTCAAGGAAGCAGGAAGCTCCAATTTGTAAGCCACCTGTCCCACTCGTTCAATCACCATGAATGGGCCAAAATACTTAGGGGCTAGCTTCTGCCAAACTCGTCGGGCTACTGAAGGTTGCCAGTAAGGCTGGAGCTTCAAATAAACCCAACCCCCAACTGCAAATTCAAGCTCCCGGTGATTGCGGTCGTAGGCCAACTTCATGTGTTGTGCTCTCTGCAAATGCAATTTAAGGGATCTCAATCTCATCTCTGTTCAACTGGTTTTCTACCTCAGCCACTGTAGAAGTTTCCTTTCCATATGGCAGCACTCCTGGAGGTTCTGTCCCATATACTACCTTAAAGGGAGTGGTTCCTGCTGAAGCCTGATATGTGGTATTATACCAATATTCTGCCCACGGCAGCCAGTAGGCCCACTGTTTGGGCTTCTCCCCAATGAAGCAACGCAAATATGTTTTGAGGCACCGATTGACCACCTCGGACTGCCCATCAGTCTGGGGGTGGTATCTGGTTGTGTGAAGCATGTGTACCCCTTGAGCGGAGAAATAAGAGTCCCAGAATTTGCTCATGAAGAGGGGGTCCCTGTCAGTCAAGATGGAATTCGGAGTGCCATGTAATTTGGCTACGTCCTGTACATAGGCTCGAGCCACTGTGGAAGTTGTATATGGTTGTGGTAACACTAAAAAATGAGCATATTTGCTCAAGTGGTCCACAATCACCAGAATCACAAACTTCCCTGCTGATTTAGGCAACCCGGTAATAAAATCCATTGTTATGTCTTCCCACACTCGTTCTGGAATAGGTAAGGGTTGAAGTAGACCTGCAGGAGACTGGATTGCTGGCATACATCACAACAGGCCACATAACTCTGAATCATAAGTCTCATCCCCCTCCGGTAATAATGGCTCGCTATCCTCTTGTACGTTCTGAGAAATCCAGAATGCCCCCCAATAGCTGAGTCGTGAAAGAGTTTGAGCAACTCTTTCTGATAATCTGATTTACTGGCCACCACCACACGACCCTTATAAAAGAGTGTAGTACCTGTTAGTCTGTTACAGAATACCTGGGGACTAAAGCTGGATCCCTGTTCCATTGAGCTCGGATCCGACTGAGTTCTGGATCGGATCACGCCTCTTGCTGGATGAGCTCATACAAGGGATAACTGGGCTTGGACAGACCCATCAGTTGAAATTCTTTTATCCTGGATAGTGCATCTGCAATAGCGTTTGAAGGCCCAGGTTTGTATTCAATATGGAAATCATAGCCCAAAAGTTTATAAGCCCATTTTTGTTGTTCAGGACTGAGAATCCTTTGCTCCAATAAGTGTTTAATGCTTCGATGATCAGTTCGCACCGTAAATCTCCGACCCAGAAGGTACGCCCTCCACTTGTGTAATGCCAGTGTAATCGCCATTAATTCTTTCTCATATGTGGACTTTGCTTGGGCCTGGGCTGATAGAGCTCGACTAAAGAAAGCTAGGGGTTGTCCATACTGCATTAGAACTGCCCCAATTCCCTTCCCGTAAGCATCAGTTTCAACCACAAATTCCTTATTGAAATCTGGGAGAGCCAAGGTGGGGGGTGTTGTGACTGCCCTCTTAAGAGATTGGAAGGCTTGTTCAGCGGACTCGTCCCACTCAAAAGCTCGTTTCTTCAACAACTTAGTGAGAGGTGCGGCCAACATGCCGTAACCTGCTATGAAACGTCGGTAATACCCGGTCAGCCCAAGGAATCCTCTAAAAGACCTTAGATTCCGGGGTCTAGGCCAGTTCACCATGCTTGAAACCTTGTCTGGGTCAGTACAAACTTTGCCACCGGCTATTATGTGCCCAAGATAATTGACATGGGTTTGCCCAAATGAACATTTAGTGGGCTTGGCAAACAAAGAGTGTTGCCGAAGTAGGTCCAGAGTGCGACGCAAATGTGTCATGTGTGAGGTCCAGGTAGGACTGTAAATAAGTATATCATAAAAAAAAAACAATATATAACGCAGCAAATAGGGTCTGAAAATCTCATTCATGAGCCGCTGAAAGGTAGAGGGAGCATTGGTTAAACCAAATGGCATAACCACAAGCTCATAGTGTCCATCCGATGGCCGAAAGGCAGTCTTAGTTATATCTTCTGGGTGGACCCGGATCTAGTGGTAACCAGACCTAAGATCCAGTTTGGAGAAAAAGAGGGCCTGGCCCAACTCATCAAACAACTCCTCTACCAAGGGAATTGGATATTGGTCCTTTACCGTGATGTTGTTGAGGGCTCGATAGTCAACACATGACCCATCCTTTTTCTTTACTAGTAAGACGAGTGAGGAGAATGGGCTATTATTGGGCCGAATGAACCCTTTATCCAAGAGTTCTTGGATCATCTCCACTTCTACCCGCTGATAGTGTGGGTACCTGTACGGGTGGACATTTGCAGGAGGAGCTCTTGGTTGGAGGACAATCTGGTGGTCCAGCTGTCTAGTGGGGGGAAGAGCAAATGGCTCTTGGAACACGTCCTTGTATTCGCTCAGGAGCTGTTGGAGTTGGTCCTGCTGCTCTGGGTTTTGGGCTATGGAATCATCAACAGTCAATGTCGGCCCAAGAGGCATGGGACCCATACTCATTAACAAGGGGGTATCTGAGTGTTGGTAGCTTTTGAGAATGAGATGGGGGGTTCGGCTGTGGCTGAGACAGGTCTGGTTCCCCTTAATAAACAGGTGGTTCCATCATGTTGGAATTGCATTGTCAGTTCATCCCAATTGCACATTACTGGGCCCAATCGTTGAAGCCATTCGACGCCTAGGACTATATCAGCCCCTGAAAATTCAAGGGAGTGCAGATCTATGGAGAAGATGTACCCCTGAATCTTAAGCCTAACAGATTTGCATCTTCCCTCACATCTGACCCCTTGCCCGCTGGCCACGTTTACAGCAAAGGGAGCTATGGGTTCCACATCCAATCCGAGTCTCCGAGTCAACCCAGGGGTGATGAAATTTAGGGAACCTCCACTGTCAATTAGTATAGCCACCTTTTGGGCCTTAACCCACCCGTCAACCCTCATGGTACGTGGGTTCTGGCATCCCGAA